CGCCTGATTCCAGGTTTCGTCGTCTGAACGAGAGTGGCCGATTTCATTATCAATCAAATTTAGCAGCTGATCAAGTATTTGATCGAATCATGTTGATAAAAGTGTTTGGCTTCTTTTATCAAACGTTGGGACTTTGAATTCGCCGTTTAATCAAGGTTTACTAACCATGTTTATTCTTGGATTTAATTTCAAGGGACCCCAAAAATACTTGTGTAATATCGGAATTGTAAATAAGTTGTGCGCCTGCTCACAAATAAATTGTGTAACGAAATCATATATAACTCTGGTCATTGATGGCACCTATATAAACTACTCAATGATCAAATTGGTTTTGTCGAACTTTTTCATGTTCAACTATAAAATCTAAAATGTCAACTACTCACGATTCCCCACCACCCATTCCGCCAAAGCCTAATACACCAGACAGGAGTTCGCAAGTTAGTAACGTCACAAATATTGATCAGCTGCTAAATTTGATTGATAATGAAATCGGCCACTCTCGTTCAGACGACGAAACCTGGAATCAGGCGTCAATAAGACAACCGGCACATGTAGATCCAAAACATCAAGCTATGCCGTTGAATATAAATACAAACACACACTTTTCTGAAGCTACAAATACTGCAAACCCGATAGGGCCACATCAAATGCTATCTCAACATGCAACGACGGCATATAACCCAAACAGTAATTCTTCAAATGCACAACACGCTTATACTCCACAGCCAAATTACAGTTCTGCGCAACCATATTATAATAATAATTACAGTGGGAGACAGTATCAATATCAAGGAGCGTATACTGGGCCTTATTACTCGTCATATCCTCGTGACCTAACGTCTCAAGGATGGCCTGCCCAGACGTCGGCTTATCCACCAAATTCTAATACAAGACCCCTGCCCAACCCGCCTTCAAATACAATCTATCCTTCGCATAATCAATCTGTTCAATATTCTCACAACATGTATCCGTATGGTGTCCCTTATGTACCTCCGACAAATGTACCATCAGCAATGCCTGTATATCCTGCAATGCCCGATTATCTTAAATACATAGATAATTCTACGGGATCACATGTTCAACATGTTGACCAAAACATTCAACCACCACGGAGTCCTCAACCACATTCACAGGTGAGAGTATTCATTATAACCGATTTTTTTGTCTAAATTTCAGCCCGTTAATTATCATTTACTGTTTTTAGCCCGTATACTCGCAAGAATTGCCTTATGATGCATACCCAACCGATTATACACATAAGTGAGAACTTGAAACAATTTAAACTGTGACGAGAATATTATAAATAATGTTACTAACAGTTCAAAATATGATTTTGTCTCTTAGTTACCCGTCTTCTGCTGGTCCTTCAACTAATACGTGGCCGTTAACGACTCCGCAAACGACATCAATAAAACAAACAAGTTCAATACCAGAAGCCAAAGGACCACATCCAGCTGCTCCTCGACCGATGAATCCTGCATTGCTATCGTGTATAGCACTAGCCTTTCGAACTAATATTAAGTTGGGGACTCATACGAAAGGCGCACTGGAATATCCAGAAAGCTTTACAGGAAAAGATGCAGTGGTATTGCTTCATTGATTATTCCAACTGGTTTTATATATTTGCTATGCCAAACAATGGATTTTACATTATTAAATAAATTGTATATTATTTGTTAATATTAGTGCACAATATTCTCTCTTGTTGAACGTGAAGTACCCAGTGTTTCTCGTCATGTCGCATTGTCAATGGCGCGTTCGTTAGAAGCCCAACTTTATTTCCATTCAGTCTACTGGGGCATAGTTACCGTAATCAAAGACACAGAAGATGAAGTTTATACATTCCTAAACTCAGATCCTGAAACTCCTACAGCCATTGAATTGGATGAAGATTTTCCAACTGGGGTTTTCCCTATTATTGCAAAATGCTATAGTCCTCGGTGTGGTATTGATGGCAAGGGTTGTTATTCCAGGACTTGTCCTAATTATGTTCCAGGCGTGGTTAGTAAATATTTTAATTATGACTTTAATAATGACTTTAATCCTGCCAACATTTTTAATATAGGTAGTTTGTTTAACGGTTCTTATTGCTCCGTATCTTTTTTTTCATGCCATAGGATGAAAAACCACCAGATCCTGCTATGAGGAGACCAGAAAGCTTAACACCTGCTGATGTCGTGGAAACTCCGGTAGGTAATAGTTAAAAGAAATCATAGGTTAAATACTAAGAAGATTATTTTCAAAATTTTGGCTGCGCCAATACCTCGTTTGATATATTTTTTTAAAAAAAAGTCTTACAAGAAATATTTGTACATAAAAAGGCTCAGGACCGTACATGGGTTGGATCCGTGTCGAAGGAAATTTTGGAATCACTTAGTAAAGATGAAATAAAACGCCAAGAAATTATTTTTGAAACAATATATACTGAAGAAGATTATGTGAAAGATTTGGATCTCATCGAAGAGGTGATATATACGTACATATATCGTCTAATGCTTGCAATACATTTATGCGATAAATTATTTAATATATTTATTTTTTAATCTTTTGGTAGCTTTTCATAAAAGGACTTCGTACAGCTTCACCACCAGTTATTCCTCCAAATCAACTTGAAAGCTTCATCCAAGAAATCTTCTTTAACGTCTTAAAGATCCGTGACCACAATCGAAAAATGCTTGAACGGCTACAAAAACGACAAAAGGAGAATCTAGTGGTGGCAGTCATTGGAGACATATTTTTTGACTGTGCACTAGAATTTGGTAATGATTATATAGATTACAACGGGCATTTTCCTATCGCTGACAATATTATTAGGTCTACAAAGCTAAAGAATCCAGAATTTAAGAGATTCTTGGAGGTATTACGATTATTTTTTTCAAATTCTAAGTATCTGTGTTAAACTGGTACATAATTAATTTATATCATGTTAATTAGCAATGTTCACGATCTAAAGAAGCTCGTAGACTTGATTTCCGCCATTTTGTACAACGTCCTACTACACGTCTGCAACGATATACATTATTACTCGAGCAGATCAAGAAATACACACCAGATGAAAATCAAGACAAAGGTTACCTTGACAGTGCTCTGCAAACGATTCGTGAACACTGCGTTGTAAGCGATAATAGAGTTCACGAGGCCGAAAATCGACTGAAAATATTGGAAATTGAACGTAAATTAGTCAAAAAAGACGGAGGTCCTTGCGTACGAATAAATTGAGTGATTATGTTCTTCACATAAAGCTTTATTATTTGAAATTACGCGTCTAAATTTTTTATATTATATTTATCTAACTTAGAATGAGCTCAATGAGCTCAATCTCTCCGACCCAAATCGACAACTGTTATTCAAGGGTGAATTACAAAAGAGATCCAGTCTTGATAAACATGATCTATTGGTGTTTCTCTTTGATAATTATTTGGTTATGACAAAAGAAAGAAAAGGGCCTGATGGTGAAATAAAATACCAACTATCAAAGAAGGTATGTTAAAACCTTATATATTTGAATTCACGGCGTATACTAACCTTTCAATCGCGCCTTTATGAAGCCTATTCCATTAGGTTTACTTATTGTAGATACACCTAGTGAAACTCTGCAGCCAAAGGCTACAACGTTTCATATCAATATTAAACCACTTGATCAAGTTAGGAAAAGAACTAACAGTACAATGCAATCTCCTATTTCACCGCAAACTGTTACCGATCTTGAAGGACAAAGCAATACTTATGGTCGATTTCCGTTTACTGTCCTCCACATTGGGCGACATGGAGGTCAATATCAATTGTTTGCAGATTCAGATACTACACGAAAAATGTGGAAAGATAGAATACAAGATGCACAAACAAAACTTCTATCGAACGAAGCTGTTAATAAGCAGATTTTTGAAGTGTTTACATTAAATGATTCCACCTTCGTAACTGGTCTTGGTGGATCTTCAACTTCGGGGTCATCAACATCCATATCAAGAAGCAAAGTGACATGTTCCGTACCCTTCGGTAAGTCTTAGTCCATTGACCTAATAGCACATATTCACGTTCTATAGTCTCATTATTTATTTTCAATCATAGTTACATCCGAGAAACGTAACATGGTTGCTATTGGGGCTGAAGATGGTGTCTGGATGGGATTTGGAGGAGAAGTGAGGACTTTCAAGCAAGTTTTAACTGTCAGCAATGTGACTCAGATGGCAGTTCTTGAAGATTTTGGAATATTTGTTGTATTATGTGGTGAGTATTTATAAATTGAGTTTAAATGAGATTCTTAATTTAAAGATATTTATTTTATATAGATAGAACACTCTGGGCATTTTCTTTGGATGCTATAATACCATCATCATCAAGCGGAAGCTCTCACAACCAACCATATCGCCAACGCCTAAGTGCTAATAACAATGTCCAATATTTTAATGTTGGCGTTATAAAGGAGAGGAATTCTACGAAGGAAAAAACTTTAGTAGTATACATGAAAAAAAGAGGTTTAGAAAGTCACTTCAAAGCTTTGGAGCCCATATGTGCAGTCGGCTCAAGTAGTGATAAATCAAAAGCCTCATCTTCACGTCGTGGTGCGTTTGCTACTATAAATATATCAAAAACGTAATTTCGGTATCAAAGGGCATAGAAGTACGAGTCTGTCGCACAATAATAA